CTCTGTCAAATAAATAAATGAATATCTTTTAAAATAAATAAATAATCAATTTCATCAAATCAAATAAATAAATAAAAATCTTTTTAAATAAATAAATAAACTAGCAAGAAATCAAAAATGGCCCAAGTAGTCAAAAGTAGAGAAAAATCTAAATAAATCATAATATACCGGGGCGCCTGCGTGGCTCAGTGGGTTAAGCCTCTGCCTTCAGCTCAGGTCATGATCTCAAGAGTCCTAGGATCAAGCTCCACATCGGGCTCTCTGCTCAGTGGGAAGCCTGCTCCCTCCTCTCTCTCTGCCTGCCTCTCTGCCTACTTGTGATCTCTCTATCAAATAAATAAATAAAATCTTTAAAAAATAAATAAAATAAAAATTTTAAAAATCATAATATACCCCTCAAATTGTTTTCAGTTTTCTTTTTTTTTTAAAGATTTTATTTATTTATTTCACAGAGAGAGATCACAAGTAGGCAGAGAGGCAGGCAGAGAGAGAGAGGAAGGGAAGCAGGCTCCCCGCTGAGCAGAGAGCCCGATGCGGGGCTCGATCCCAGGACCCTGAGACCATGACCTGAGCCGAAGGCAGAGGCTTAACCCACTGAGCCACCCAGGCGCCCTTCAGTTTTCTTTTTAAAAAGATTTTATTTATTTATTTGACAGAGAGAGACCCAGCAAAAGAGGGAACACAAGCAGGACAAGTGTGAGAGGGAGAAGCAGGCTCCCTGATTCTTCATTGTGCACGTGCCCTCCCTCTACCTCTGCCTCTCCCCATGCTTGTCTCTCTCAATTGAATACATGAAATCTTTAAAATTAACTAATTAATTAATTTTAAAAATTAACATTCAATGAAGGTGAGCTTTTCTTGATCACCTATATATACTATGCTAGTCTGACTTGACATGAAATGTGTCCACACGGAACTACAGGAGAACTGGGAACATCAGTGGCCCCGGTAACACAGGGCATGTGGAAGGGAATTTCTTTCACAGTGTGCTCTATTGTATCCTTTGAATTTTGAATCATGGCTTTATATCTCGTAACAAATATAAATTTAAATTTTGAAACAAAAAAAATTTTTTTAAGGTCAAAGAGATCCTTTGCCTCTTTGCCCTTTACAAGCCCCATTTTTGTGCAACAGTGAATGTGGAAGGAGTCTAGTTATAGCAGAGTTGAAAACTCAAATACCTAGAAAGGCCAAGGAGATAAATGAGGGCCAGAGCTGGTGTGAGCAATAGGGAGTGGTGGGGACTGTGGCAAACTAGAAAGCAGGGGCCCTCTCTGTGATGGCAACACGATTCTGCACTGGCTGGTCTCTGCCGAGCAGGCAGACTGCCTCAGGGCTGCCAGCCCTTCCAGTTTTCAATAAAAGTCAAACATCCAGACTATCATGCACATTTTCTCGTTTTAAAACATGTGCTACAGCCCCCACCAAAAAAACAAATCTCTACCTGTGCCTACAGGTAGCCAATTTGCAATCCCTACTCCATTATTGTGGAATATTGGTTCCGAGCTCCCCACTGAGCAGAGAGCCCCACACAGGGTTGGATTCCAGGATGCTGGGATCATGACCTGAGCCAAAGGCAGATGCTTAACTGAACCCTCTGTGCAATATTTTTACTGAGAGCCCCAGGGAATGTTAGGGAGGGGCAACTTGCCCAGAATCAAACAGTGCTTGCACACGGCACGGACGAAAAACTGGCACCCCGACTTCACTTCCAGCAGTAGTTAGTTAACAGTGACTTATGGGGATGTGAATATGTCAGGCCCTCTCGGGGACATCAGCATATTAACAGAGCCAGGGCCCTGAGTCCACTCTCTGAGGCTATTTTTTTTTTTTTTTTAAGATTTATTTATTTGAAAGAGAGAGAGAGAGAGCACGAACGGGAGCAGCAAAGGGAGGAGAGACTCTCTAGCAGACTCCGTGCTGAGTGTGAAGCCCAATGCAGCGCTTGATCTCACAACCCTGAGATCATAACCTGAGCCGAAACCAAGAATCAGGTGCTTAACCAACTGAGCCACCCAGATGACCCCCTCTGAGACCATTTTCCGAGTGGGACAGAGGCCTGTTATAGAAGGATGAGTCCCCTCTGCTCTCCTGATTCCACATCCACTAAAGCTGGCCTGCTCAGAGGCCAACATCAAGGTGTAAAAGCAGGCTGCCAGATGGCAGGTTCTGATCGCTTACCTCTGTCCTCCCCACCTCTCAGCCTGTGGCCAGCCTCTCCCTGCCCGTTCTGCTAGTTCACACCCTGCCCAGCCTACAGCCCAAGTCACAGCTGTCTCCCCTGATATGCAGTCAGGCCACACAGGGCAGAGGCGGGATTCAGATCAAGCCTGGCTCATTCTCCTGAGGCTCAGCCCTTTCCACCCACAACAGGCTTCCCCCCAAGAGGCCCAGTTTCTTTGCCCACAAAATGAGGCCAAGAAGACCTCTTTCTTGGGGTGAGTTACATAGGATAAAAGGGTAAGGAGACCAAAGATGAGAGACTTTCATCCATCATATTAGCAAAGGTTTTTTTTGTTTTGTTTTGTGTTTTTTAAAGATTCTATTTATTCATTTGACAGACAGAGAGGCAGGCAGAGAGAGAGGAAGGGAAGCAGGCTCCCCACTGAGCAGAGAGCCCAACATGGGGCTCAATCCCAGGACCCTGGGACCACGACCCAAGCCAAATGCAGAGGCTTTAACCCACTGAGCCACCCAGGCGCCCCAACAAATGTTTTGTTTTTTTTTTTTTAAGATTTTATTTATTTATTTGTCAGAAAGAGAGAGAGAGAAAGCACACAAGCAGGCAGAGAGGCAGGCAGAGGCGGAGAGAGAGGCAGGCTCCCTGCTGAGCCAAGGAGCCCGATACGGGACTCGATCCCAGGACCCTAGGATCATGACCTGAGCTGAAGGCAGCGGCTTAACCCACTGAGCCACCCAGGCGTCCCCCAACAAATGTTTTTTAACGACAATATTCAGTGCATATAATGAAATGGGACATTTTCATATCCTGCTTCTGAGACTATATGCCAGTACAATATTTATGAAAGGTTATTTGAAAGTATATTTCAAAATGTATATCAGTATCAAAGTATACTGGCAAACCCATAGAGACAGGACTCAGACAAGTGGTTGCCTTGGGCTGGAGAGTTGCGGGGCGATGGGGCGTGACTGCCAATGGGTAGTGTTTCCCATGGAGGTGAAAAGTGTTCTAAAATTAGACCACAGTCATGGCTGCACAACTCTGAAAATACTAAAAATCACTCAACTGTAGTCTTAAATGGGCTCTTAAATAACACATTATATGAATTATATCTCAATAAAGCTATTCTTAAATGCACAGGTTTGTGTGCAAACACGTTTGTCTCGGCATCATGCATGAGAGAAACCAAGTTCTGAACAATCAGAACATCCAGCATTGGGATAAAACTAAAGCCCATCTTTACAACGGAACTCCTGGGGTTGAAGGAATTCTGGAATCGGCCCACCGGGATCAAATGCACTTCTAGCTCCGTGACCTTGAGCAAGGTGCTGACCTTCCCTGAGGCTCACCTTTCTCATCTCTTAAATGAAGAAGATGCTTTACTCATAAACTAGCTGCGAGGAGGCAGGGAGCTAATCCACACGGAGTGCTCGGGTCCGTCCCTGCGCATCGGGAGACCTAGTAAATCTCAGTAAATCCTTCATGACTGAATGACCACAATGTCACATCTGTTCATTCACCAGTTGGTCTTAACAGTCATGTGACCCCCTTTTTTAAAAAATGGGAAGCCTGAGGCTGTTTGGTGAGCTGCTCCTGCCACAGTCAGTAACACAGGATTCAGAATTCTGGATGCTTTCCCCTTCTCCTCTTCTCCTAGCCCTTCCCTCCTCTCTCAGACCTTCAGGATGGGACACAGATGGATATCACCACCCAACGACCCTCCATCCACACGGGACCCCACCAGCCCCAACTCTGAGGCCTGCCTGCCTTTGCCCTGACTTCAGCATCTCTAAGCTCATGTCCTCTGGGGACCTCCTCCTGAATGAGGCAAACCTCAGGATGGGAAGGGAAGGTCCACCGTAAGATGCCCCCACAGGGTAATATGGGAAGAGAAGGCCTGGAGACAGACACACAGCATGTTACTATCCAGTCAACCCTGGGGTAGGGTTCTCTGCACTGTACAAATATCTCTGACCCCGGGTGCCCACAAAGATGCTGGGGCAATGGCCCAACTACCTAGCAGGGATCCCAGAGCAGGGGCCATCTCACACTCTGCTGGAGCGGGCCACGCTGATGGTTCCGCGGGCCTCGAATGCGGGAGGCTCCCTTCTCACTCAGGCCCTCCGGGACGGGGACCGGCACCAAGCTCTGCTCAACTGACCTCTCTCAAGGGCCCACCCCTCCTCCTGCCCTTCACCCAATGAGCTTCCAAAGGGGAGGCCATGATCCACATGGACAGCAAGCCACACCCCCATCCCTGAACACGGTGATTGGTCCACCGTGGACACATGACCCAAGTGCATCCAATCAGAGTACATCCTGGCATTTCCCTGGGTAATGCTGCCACGAAGACCGTCTTTCTCATCCTATTCCAGTCTGTAGCCCCTCGAGCACCCAGCACCCATCCTAGGGCCAAAAGGAAAATAAAGCAGAATAAAAAGTTCAGACTGAGAAACTGGGTCCTGATCATGTGTTTGTGTCCAGATCAGGCCTTGCCTGGGTCTCCCCGGGCACCGCATAGTTATGAGCCTAAAAATCCCACCCCGCTGATGGAAATTTAGATCTATTACTTAACCACTAAGAGAATTCTAAAGGATACATGGCCGAGCTGTCTGAATACACAAGCAGAGACGACTGTTTGGACCTCCTGCTGCTCAGGCCAAAGGTCAAGGACCAAGGGTTTGGGCTTGCCCAGAAGAAGGGTTTGCCCTATTCCTCTTCTCTGAGGCCCCAGGCCCACTCGGCTGAACATTTATTTGCCCCAAGCCCTCTGCCCTGTACACCCTCCTCACACACACAGATGCCACACACGGCACTGGATGGACTTTTATTTTAAAGTCAAAGGCACAGCCTGGATGGGCTGAGGCAGTGACTGCAGATGCCCAGCCCAGACCCTCAAGGCCCTGCCCCAGCCAGAGGCAGCTGTGCCAAGGGGGAGCGGGGGAGTGGGGAGAAGGGGCCTCCCCTTTTAGGGGTTGCCTACCTCCTTCCTTAGCCCCAACAGGGGAGAAGCAGGTGACATAAAGTGAGGCAGAAATGCTTCAGGGGTCCCCCAGGGCCTCTCCTTGGACCCCCCCTCCCAACACAGGTCTTTGGTGGACGTAATTGCACGGACAGTCCATAAAGTGACAGCTGGAGGGGCGCCCCCTCCCAAGAGCAGGGCCTGGGGGGGGAGGGCAGGGGAGTAGTCCCAGTTTCTCCCCCTGGCAACTCAGTGCGGAGAAATGGGGGAGGAGCCCTTCCGGGTGGAGCAGCCCCCTGGGGGAGAAGTGCCTTCTGCCGGACTAGGCACTGTATCAGCAGAGGCCCCTCCCTCCCTGCATCTCTAACTCTATCTGGTAAGACGTAAAAAATTCTCTGCTTATAAAAATACTTCTGCTCTGGGAGTGGGGAGGGGGGAAGGGGAGGGAAGGGCAATCCCTGGGGATGGGGCGGAGCCGATACCTGAGGCTCCCAGGTCACAGACTCTATGGGGGAAAGAGGGGTCACTGTGGCGGGGGCTAAGAGGGCGGCAGGGGGCCGTTGGCTCGTCTGGGGGCTCCCTTGGCGGCGGGGGCCCTGCCCGCGGCGGCGGGCGCAGGGGAGACGCGGCGGGAGGTGGTGGCGCTCCGCAGCTTCTGTTTCCGCCTCTTCGCCAGCGGCGCGTTCTCCACGCTCTTCAGGAAAAAGCCCTCGCGCTTGCCGCGGTTGAAGGCCTGGCAGAAAGGAGGGGGTGAGTGCCCCACCACCACCTGCCGGGCCTCAACTTCCAGATCCTAGCTTTGACCGCATTCGGGACCCTCCCTCCCATTCCACCAGGTCAAGGCCAACAGGTCATTGGCCTCCAGCCTACCTAAAGGTCTGGGTGCCGACCAACCAGACCAACCAGAGGCCGGGCCTCGGTTCACCTCACCTTTCTGGGCTTGGGGGCGTGGCCTCCCAGAGACAACCCCCCCCACAGCCCCACCTCCCACAGACCCCGCCCCTCACCATGAAAGTGGCGTTGAGCCCGGAGCGCACAGCTGGCCCCGAGGACTCCAGCACGTCGGGTGTCCGGAGTGGGGGCGAGGAGCGCGCGCTGCCATCCTGTAGCCATGAGCTTCCCCGCAGCCCCTCAAGCTTCAGCCGCTTGGCAGGGTCCACCGTCAGGAGCCCTGGAGCAGGGCAGGGAAGGGCTGAGGAGGGGCCGTGTGTGGGGTCTGCACCCCAGAGAGATCCCAACAGCCCCACTCTTCTCCCTGACCAGTCCCCCAGATGAAACACCTAACCCACTGTCGATCCCTGCCCCAGCACGACCCCATGGCCGCCCCCTCTCCAAGAACACCTGTGTCTGTGACACCTCCCACCCCCTCCCGCCCCTCCTCCCCTCACCTCGGACCAGCTCCTTGGCTTCCTCAGACACGCCCTGCCAGGCCTCCCCGTCAAGAGAAAAGCGCCCCTCACGAATCTTGCACATGATCTCGGCCGCTTGGCTCTGCCCACCCTGGCCTGAGGCCCCCTGGAAGGGGACCTGCCCGGACAGCATCATGTACTGGAAAGGTGGGGAGAGGGGGAGTTGAGAACCGCCCCCCGTTGCAAAGCCAAGAGGGGCAGGGGGCTAACTTAACCCACCCACAGAACCATCCACCCTCTCCAGGAGGGTGACTCCTGAGGCCCATGTGTGATGCTGAACCCTGACTTCTGACCCCTAAGACTCAGAGGCCCTGACCCCAGACCCTGAGCAACCCTGCCACCCCCACTAAGAAGACCCCTGTACTCTGCCTCGGGGGTGTCCCTGCTGGCCCACATCAGGAAGCCTTCTGACCTCAGGCTCCAGGCACCCCGAATCCTCCCGGGAACCCCGTCCCATACCAGAATGACGCCGAGGCTCCAGAGGTCGCAGGACTCATCGTAGCCCTGCTGCGCTAGCAGCTCAGGAGCAGCGTACTGCAGCGTGAAGCACGGCGTCTGCATGGGTCCCGCGGGGCTCTGCGGGCGCAGCCGCGCAAACCCGAAGTCGATGATCTTCACGGGGGCTCCGGGCGTGTCATCGGCGTACAGAATGTTCTGGGAGGGCGGCGGGGCGGCCATCAGAGGCTAGCCCTCGGCGCCTCAGCCCTCCCCGGAGGCCCAGGCCCCGCGCTCACCTCGGGCTTGAGGTCGCGATGCACCACGCCCGCCTCCTCGTGCATGAAGCTCACAGCGGACACCAGGCTGCGCAAGATCTGGCTCGCCTCGGACTCGCTGAAGTGCCGCTTCTTGCGGATGTGCTCCAGCAGCTCCCCGCCCTGCAGCAGCTCCAGAACCAGGTACGTGTGCAGCTGCGGCCGAGAGACGGGGCGAGGTCACCACCTGGGTCAAGGTCCGACCTACCAGCCGACCTACCTACAGACCTCACCACCCCATCCCCGCCGGGCCCCACCCACTGGCCAGGCCTCGCCCCCAGCGTCAGTCCCTGCCCCCTATTTGAGCCCGGAACTCAAGACCACCCCCAAAACCACTGTTAGGCCCCAAATCCTAGCCCCTTCCACGTCCTCCTCAAATTCTGTTCCCTTGAGCATCCTCGGCTCCCCCTTCCCATCCTCAGCTCAAATCCCACCTTCCTGCCCTGCCACCTCGCTCAGCGCCCCCACCCACTCACCCAGTCCTCAGCCCTGGCCTCCTGCCTGCCTCCCCACCCACCCGCCCTCCAAGAACAGCCCCCTGATTCCCTGCGTTGTGCCCCAGCCCAAGAAAGGGTCACCTGGTCGTGATGCACGTCGTGCAACTTCACCACGTTTGGATGCGACTGGCAAAGCCGTAAGGCGGCCACTTCTCGCTGCGTGTTCGCCTCCAGCCTGGGGGTGAGGCAGGCGGGGTCAGTTGGGCCGACATCCCGCCCCGCCTCCTGGACGCGGCTTTGCCAGGCCCCGCCCTCCCCGGGCCCGCCCACCTGCGGCTGAGGATCTTGACCGCGAACTCTTGGCCGCTCTGGCGCTGGCGACAGCGGCGACACACGGAGAAGCTGCCCTGGCCCAGCGCCGGCTCCCGCAGGTCCAGCTCGTACTGCTGGAAGAAGGGCGAGTCCTGGCGGCGAAGGGGGCGCGTCAGAGATCCTACCTGGGAGCCCTGCGGCCACGCCACGCGCCACTGCAGAGAGGCCCCAAACCTCACCGAGGTCACACCTTGGGCTCCTGGGGAAGCCAGCTTTGGAATCCCCAACCCAGACACCCCTAAACCAACTTGCCACCCTGGCCCCGCCCACCTGCATCATGGCACTCCTGGCCACCGCTGCCCGGCCGGGCCGGTCTCCAGCGCCAGATGCTTCCAGCACATCTGTCATCATCACCGCATTGTTATGGTCAAACAGGATGGAGGGCGCCACGAAGGAGTATCCCTGCGGGGGTGGAGGAAGGGTGGAGGGGGCTTATGCGCATAGGGGCTGGAGGTGCATACGCAGTCCCTGGAAGGCCCAGACCCGGAGAGGGGCAGGGTTCAGGGGGAAGACCCTGGACTAGAGTGGGTGGTCGAGGCCGTTGCTTTGGTATCCTGGTGCTCACAGGTGTGTGAACATTTCATTCCGCCTTGTTCTATGATCACTTGGGTTCACGTCCCCCCACCAGTGTGTGACCCACTGTTCCCATCACAGTAAACCCACCCCCCACCCCTGAGTGCCAAGGGCATTATTCAGCACAATGCAATGACCCAGAAAATGATGGACCCGAGGCATGAAAGGGCCCCGGCCTGGCATCACAAACACTTAGCTTATGAGAATTCAAATCCACCCACTGAATACAAAAAAGCTTTATGCCTTCCTCTCAAACCAAACATTGGCCTCCTCTGCAAGGGGGTTGGGGGGGGGGGGGCTACTGAGGAAAGACAAAGAGGCAATTCATGGGATTCTTAAGGGTAAGTTTAACAACGGATTGTTTTCTCCTAAAAACACAGTCCACTGTGCCAAAACACTGTACACAAAAACACAGGTTCCACACTTGTCCCTTAAGTTCACTGATCCGTCCCCAGGACCCAGATCAGTGCCTGCCACACTGTAGGCACTCAGTACATATTTTTGAATCATTGAATGAATGAATGAATGAATGAGGGACGCCTGGGTAGCTCAGTCGGTTGGGAGTCCAATTCTTGGCTTTAGCTCAGGTCATGATCTCGGGGTGGTGGGATCGAGCTCCACATCCGGCTCCATGCTCAGTCGGCTGGACACTCAGTCTCTCTCTCTCTGCGCCCCCCCACCCACTCTCTCGCTCTCTAAAGTAAATACAGCTTAAAAGAAAAAAACTGTGAGACCATCGGTGGAGGCTTGTTCCAACACAGTCGTCACTCGGGAGAGCCTCACAGGAGTGCTGACCCATCTACACTTGCTACTGGCCTGTTCTTATTTCATATTTAGGGGACCATGTCCTCCAGGCCAGGCCCCCACACCAGGCAAAGGGATACAGAAATTAAATGCAGTCGCTGCCTTCTGGGAGCTTCCAGACCAGGGGAGGCAGTCCCAGGAAGGCAGCTAGGATACAACCTGACATGGTGCTCAGAAGGAGGTGCCGTCTCCAGAGGACAGGTGCACAAGGAGAGGGCAACACAGGACCAGAGCAGTGGGGAGGAATTCACACAGGAGCAGCGTCACTCAAGGAGGCTTAAAAGGTGAATGGGAGTGCCCGGGGGCACGGGTGGTGCAGCCATGGAGAATTGCCAAGTGCAAAGACACGGACATGTGTTCTGTTCGTAGGTGCTGGTATACCAGGTGGGACCACAGTGAGCAGTGAGGCTAGGGCACTGAGCAAGGACTACATCATGCAGGGCCCTGAATGCCGAGCAAAGGAGTTTGACTTTGCCCAAAAGGCCTAAGCTTCTAAAACTGAGAGAAGGGGGCCTGAGCTTCCACAAATGTGATGTGGTTTGCCAAGGAACATGCAAAGCCACAGCATAAACACAGCATGTCTTTCTAGCTGTCCACTTAAGCAACCGAACAGTTAAAACACTATCTTTACATAACAATAAAGATATATGGAGTAGGGGCGCCTGGGTGGCTCAGTGGGTTAAGCCGCTGCCTTCGGCTCAGGTCATGATCCCAGGTCCTGGGTTCAAGCCCCGCATCGGGCTTTCTGCTCAGCAGTGAGCCTGCTTCCTCCTCTCTCTCTGCCTGCCTCTCTGCCTGCTTGTGATTTCTCTCTGTCAAATAAATAAATAAAATCTTTAAAAAAAAAAAAAAGATATATGGAGTAGAAGAGAAATTATCATGAAATTTAAAGATAAACCATATGACTCAAAGACGTGTCCTACCACGGCAGTGTGTATGACTAACAACTCCAGCTACCCCACCAGTGGACGGGGTCTGGGGAGGATGCTGAGTCCTGATCAGAACACAGGGCCTATGCAGGGCCAGGGGTCAGGCCCCGCCCAGGGTGGAAAGAGTATCATCCTGTCTCTACAGCACCTGCGGTTCTGTGAGCTCTCACTCACCTGGAAGATGCGAGGGTCCCCAGGTGGGGGGCTGCCGGGGGGTGAGTAGACAGGCTCCAACCGAGTAAATTCTTCTGCAAAGTTGCCCACATCCAGCTCCGAGCGGATCTGGGGTTGGAATGGGGCTGGAACTTTCCTGGCAGCTAGAGCAACCCAATCCAAACCCTGGGGAAATGAAATGAGAGATTGGTGGTGAAGGGTAGGAAGTTAAAACCCCTGTCCCCTCAGGCCACCCTCCCTGGGCTGCTCCTCAGTGAGGCAAGGGTCTCTCTGGGATTTGGGTGGAAAGCTGTTCTACCCGCCTCCCTGGCTTCTGTTTTTCTCGCTCTGATAAGAGCACCCCTACTTCCCTTAGCAAATCATCCCTCCACCACATTCAGTCAATTTTGGGACTTTTGATAGCGTTGCCATGCAAAACAAATCTATTTCTCCAACTGGACTTAAATCTGGGAAGACATGGGCCTGGAGCTGCTGGGAACCCCTCAGGGTCTAATGATGAAGTCCCCATGCAGAAAACTCAAAAGATAAAGAAAGAAATCCTTAATAACCATAAATCCAGCACCTGGATGCAGCCTTGTCTGAAGTCAAATCACTTTTCCTTGGACTTTTCAAATACAGGAGCTAAAACATGCCTTTTTATGTTTAAGCTAGGATGGCAGAGACTGTTCGTCGCCCACCCTACTTCCATATTCCCTGTCTTCCTTAGTACCATAGCCCTGATGTTATTATAGGAAGCAACGTACATAACTAAAAGCCAGGATTTAACAAACTTCCTTGTACTCAGGGGTGACCCATAACCTGTAAGCAAAAAACGTTAAGAATCCAGAGAAAGAACCTCAAGAGGAAGGTGAAAGTTGGCACGTGTGCATTTTGCTCTTCCCCTTTTCCCCCCTGATTTCTGCCTAGATTATAGCCTAAATGGCAAGTGCTCCAGCAGCCATTTTGGACCAAGAGGCAACCCTGGGGCTGGAGGCTGCATGCTAAGAATGGAGGAGCATTAAAAAAGGAAGAAAGGAGGTTGTATTTATGAAAACACCACAGCAGCCCTGGCCCGCCAACCTCTTACATGAGAACAGAAATAAATAAATAAACCTCTATTTTATTCAGACCACTGTTCACTCCAGTTTCTTTTCTTGGCAGTCAAATTGTTCCAGGGATATCACCATTTTGAGTTGAACTTTTTATCACTTGCAGCCAAGAGGCCTGATTTGGTCTCAAAGGCCCCAGGTCTGGCACCAGGACCTCAGCATTGCTATCACCAAAGAGGCTATCTTGAGAGAAGGGGTACTGCGGGGAACACACCTTCTGAGCATCGGGCCTCAAAGACCTTAGGGCCTCTCCAGTCTGATTGCCCATCAACCCACTCCCAGAATCCAGGGGCTGGCGTGTGCTCAAGGTGGGGCTTGAGGAGTCCACTTAAGGAAAATGACGATGCTCAGCCCCTTCCCCCACGAAGGGACAACTTCACCACGAGGTCTGCCTCAGAAAGCATCTCCAAGGGACCGTGGCGGGAAGACTGGAAGCAGCACTCGTAGCAGGGATAACTGAGTGCCTGGCCCACAGTAAGGCCCCAGAAAGGGACACGTCCATTAGGATGTCAGACAAGTGGCAAATCTGATGCCACAAGTAAACAGGACACAGCAAAGAAGCGTCTGGGCTTCAAATCACCCAGACCTGGGTTTGGATCTGAGCTCCATCACTTCCTGGCTGGGTGACCTCTGGCCAAATGACTTACCCTCTCTGAACTTCAGTTTCTCCATCTGGAAAGATGGGGATCATCAGAATGCTTCTGAAGGTTACATGAAATAATCAGCAAAGAGCCAACACATGGCAGGTGTTCACTGTTACAGGGCCCTGCTAGGCAAGGACACCAGCCACACATAGCGCCCGAGCCAGCAGGATCTCGCCAGGAAACAGAATTCATCCCACCCCGCCCTCTAACCTGTGGGTACTTTTAACAAGTAGACAAAACCCAAGTGGCTGACCGACTGCCCATCAGAATGCCAGGCACACAGAGAGTACTGGAACAAAGAACAAAACGCCTGGGTGGGTGCGGAGAACCCTAAGTGTGACTTGGACGGCTGATGATACCCGCAAGCTGTCCCCAGCTCTACACCATCTCCTGTGCCATCCGGAGCAGGTCGCCTCCCTTCTCTGAACCTGTCCGGTGGAAGGACCTGATGAAGCCATTCTCGAGCCCCTGCCGGCCCTGACGGTCAACGAACCTACAATCCTTTCCCCCAGGAACAAGCCTTCCAAGTTGCACCAGAGATGGAAAAGACAAACCCACGTTATCAGGTGGTTTTTCTAAGTCACGTGAAACCAGCTGGTCTCAGACCATCGCTCCGGTGTCCCCCAACCCAGAGCAGTGGCCTGGCCTGGGTAGTGTGCAGAGGTGTGGGGGAGAGTCAGCAGCCTCACCTGGAAGAAGGGGTGGTTCTTGACTTCCTGGGCCCCCTGGGGCCCTGCGCCCAGCCGCTTCTTGGGGTCCTTGCAAAGTAGTCGCCGCAGCAGGTCCTGTGCCACAGGCCCGATCCGGGGGGGGAAGGGAGGGGAGCACTTCAGGATCCGTCTGGGAGGATTGGGGGGGCGTCAGGGGCAGCGAGCCCCCTCCCCAACCGTGCCCAGGCCCCTCACCGCCTCCCCTTCTCGTCCAGCCCCGCTCACCGGGACACCTCTGCCTGCGTGTTCCTCTCACCCTCCAGGGTGAAGGGCGAGGCCCCGGTCAGCAGCTCAAAGAGCAGGATGCCCAGGCTCCACCAGTCCACAGCCTGCCGGGGGCAGAGCCAGGGTGAGGGCCTGTGGCCACCCCTGCCTCCCCACCACCGCCGCTCCCACCCACTCCCACACGAACCCACCTTGCCGTGCCCTGACTTGCTGCGGATGATTTCGGGAGCCATGTACTCGATAGTGCCACAGAAGGAGAAGGTTCGTTCTTTCTGGGAGGGCAAGAGGACCCATGTGGACACCCAGCAGAGCTCCAGGCTCAGAGCAAGACTTGCTGGGCTTGGGAGGGTGAGAGCATAGGGAGCCTCCTGCAGGCGGGCCCCCGACCTGTTCACCTCTGCGCCATGACCAGGAACGGAGCAGGAGGAGAAAGGAAGGCGAAGGCTTGAATAGAGGTGCGGGAGGCAGGAAGACTGCCCTTAGCTCACCTCCTCCGTCAGGAACTCCTTGCTAAGCCCGAAGTCCGTGAGGACGATGTGGCCCTCGGAGTCCAGCAGCACGTTCTCCAGCTTCAGATCTCGGTAGATGATACCCAGCTGGCAGGAGCAAGAGAAGCACTGACGTTTCTTCCTCCCCAACAGCCCCGCTTCCTATGGCTCGTGCCAGGGCACCAAAACCCAGCTCAGGATAAGGGGAGCCCCCCCCCAAAGAAGGGATCTCCGATGCAGGACTAGGCCCAGGCACCGGGCCTTCAGATGGGAAAAGCCACTTCCGACGTAAAAGCAGGGAAGGAGGACCCCCTGGGAACAGGCCCGAAGGACCCAGAAGGAGGAGAGCCTGGGTGAAGAGCCCCATTGCAAGAAGGCCTTGGGAGCCAAGGCATGAGGTCTCCATTTGAGGAAGTTCTGTGAGTGTGGCCCCGGGAGGCAGCCCCAAGTTCCCTGTCAGAGGAAACCCCCTTTGAGGAGGTACCGGCCGGGGGGGCGGGGGGGCACAGAGGGGGAGAGGAAAGAGACCCCTCCCCAGGCAGCGCTAAGGCCTTCCCTTCCAGAAGGCCTGGGGAAGCGACTCCAGCCCCCACCAAGACCACCCAAGAGAGAGCGCATCCAGGCTGCCCTGTGGGGTGGCCCGACACCAGGCCCAGACCCAGAGCCCGCAGAGAGCCCAGGTCCTCACCCACCTTGTGCAGGTGCTCCAGGGCCAGCACGATCTCGCCCCCGTACACGCGCACCTCGGCCTCTTTGAAGTGCTGGCGCTGGTAGAGGTGGGTGAACATCTCGCCTCCACTCACGTAGTCTGGGGGTTGGAGCGGAGGGTGGGAAGCCGCCCTGACGGAGCGGAGCGGCCCCAGCTTCCGCTCCGTGGCCCCCAAGGTCATCAGGGGCCCACCCTTACCCAGGATGAGGTGCAGCTTGGCGTCCGTCTGGAAGGCGTAGTGCAGCGTGACCAGGAAGGGCGCCTGGCGCACGAGTTCCAGCACGGAGCGCTCGGTGCGCGTGTGCTCCTGTGTCTTGGCGCGCTGCACCAGCGCGGCCTTGCGCAGCACCTTCATCGCGTACAGCTTCCCTGCATCATGCCCGACGGCTTTCCGCACCAGGAACACCTTCCCGTAGGCTGTGGGAGCAGTGAGCCAGCGCAGGGCAGACTGTGAGCCGAAGGGTGGTGGGGACTGGTGGGGGCGGTGGGGGGGGATGCCAACCCAGAGGGTGTGGAAACCGGGGGAAGGAGCTGGAGCGAGAGGCAAGGGTGCAAAAGGTTGATGGAGACTTCGGGGGGGGGGGGGGGGGGGGGGCGTATGCAGCCCCGGAGGGTCTGCAAAAGCGGGGAGGAGACTGTGCAAAACAGGCTGGAAGGCATGCAACTCCAAGAGGCTTGCCGTGCAGGCTGGGGGCAGATCACAGGCAGAACCCGGCAGATGGGACAGATGCGGGGGGGGATGCAAAGTGGACCAGGGAGGGATGTGCAAAAAACCCAGGCCGGGGACTGTGCAAAAAACCCAGGCCGGGGACTGTGCAAAGCTGGGAGTGAGCGAAGCAGGAGACCAGGTTCCCATAGCTCTCGGGGGAGGAGGTGTGCAAATCCCTCAGGAGCGCTGCAAAGCCTGGAGGGTGTTGGCAAATCCCCGAGGACCTTGCAGGGAGGAGCCACGAGAATGTGGAGCAGCGCTAGGAGTAGGCATGTCCCTGGGAGTGGGCATGCAAACCCTGGCAGGGCAGGGCGGGGCAGGCAAGGCGGGCCAAGCGGGAAAGGGTGGGGGGCATCGCTGGAGGCCTGGCCCAGGACCAGGAGGGTGTGCCGGTTGGGAGGCCCAGGGCACCAGGCTGGGGACACCTGCCCCCAGGGCGGGTGTGGGGGTCCTCACCTCCCGTGCCCAGCACCTTGAGCAGCTCGAAGTTCTCCACGCTCACCTTCTCCTCGTGCCCGGTCAGGTTGGCTGTGGGCACAGGAGGCGAATGAGCGCGGCTGGTGCATGCCCCCTCCCCGGCCGGGCCCGGCGGCCCTCACCCGGCCCCGCGCCCCCGGCCACCCCCCGGCCCACCTTCGGTGATCCGCAGCTCCACGGCGCAGCCCTCGTCCTCGTCCTCGTCCCCCATAGCGTGCGGGTCGCCGGGGGTGCCCCGCGCGGCTCTGCTCCGGGCGGCGCCGGTTACATGGCGGCTCCGGCCGGGGCGGGCGCTTCCTGGTGCCGCCTCCGGGGGCCGAGGCGGGCGCCGGCACCGCCTCCCGCTCCCCGCCCCGCGCGGCCTGAGTCAGGCGGCTGGAACGTGACAGCGCCGGGCTGCGGGTGGGAGGGCGGGAGCGGCCCGGCTCCCTCGGGCGCGCGGGGCGGGCCGCAGGGCAGTGCGCTCCGGGACCGCGGGCGACCCTCCTGGGGTCCCGGGAACACCCTTTGCGAGCCGCGTCTGGGGTCAGGGGAGACCCTGGAGCCTCTACTGGGTGGACGCTCCCGAGCCAGATGTCTGCCCCCGGGGGTGCCCGCTGAAGCTGAGACACCTGGGCCGTGCCCCAAGGGGGTGGGGTGGGGTGGAGGTGGGGGGCACCCAGGCGCCTTTGAGCTGCCCCCTCCAGGGGACCGGACCTCGGGCAGTCAAGCGATTCTGTCCAGTTCTTAGCCACCAGCCCAGTGAGAGTTTTCATCAAGATCTCAGTTCACTCACTCGATTTTGATCACCCGACCAGCGCAAAGCGGGGAGGGGATGTGTACGTTCCCTTGACACCTGGAAGCCTCGGGTGTATCCTTGCCCAGGTGCTGCCCGAGGGGCCTCGGCCCAGCGCCTCTCACTCCGTGTGGACTTGCCTTTGCAGGGGAGGGCCTGGGGCCTCGGGCTCCCTGAGGACCCCGTGTCCGGGCGGTGCCTGCCCAGGTGGCGCCTGCAGGGGGCGCGGACGCAGCGCGAGGTGAGGGCGGGCGAGTCCCACGCTGTGGCAGGGAGGAGTGGCTGATTTCCTGACCAAATCTCTTTAGAGTGGACATGTGAAAGCACCTCAGCCCCCCGCCAATCTTCGCAGCCCAACCAGTGCCACGCGCCCCTCTCGTGCTTCTGTCCCCTGTGGTCCCCAAGCCCAGCACAGAGCCCAAAGTAACCTCAAAAAAGGTGTCAGAGCCACACAGACGGCCTCCTTTCATGGTCCCACCCAGGGCCCCTGGCTGGCATGTCCTCTGGAGCCTCCCTGACCACTGACAGGAGCCACCAATAGAGCAGGTGGCCACTAAAGCCCGGAGGCGGAGGGCTATGGGAAGGGGCTTTCAGCTCCTCAGCCCAGCTGGAGGCTGGGGTCCACTCCCACCTCACCAGACTCTGAAGCTTGGGCCACCCCTCCCAGCTCCCCCCCCCCCCCCCCCGATTCAGGTTGCCTCACCTCAGCCCTGGCAGCCCCACCCTGCCCCGGGCACCACCAGGTGCCTTGACTCACGTCCTGCCAGCTAGCCTAATTGCCCCTTTCCTGGGTGTCATTCTGGAAGCCCAGGTCGGAGACCGGTTGTCTTTGTACGTTTTGTGTCCCTCCACGAAAGCTCGCGACACTAGGTGACATCCCACTGGGCTGAGAACCCACTGGGGAGGAGCTCAACCCTAGAGGGATGGGGAAAGAGGATGAGGAGGCAGGAAGACGTAAAAGTAGAGAAGGAGGAGGGGTTGGAGTATCTGGGGCTTACCTGGAGCCCAGACCCCGCCTTCTCAACAAAGACAGAGCCCAGACTTGGGCTGCCCAGAACCCTACCTCCCCAGCCCACTGGGACATCCAAGCGAGCCCGACTAGCTCATCTCTCGAAGAAAGCCCTTTGCCGCCCTGGGCAGGGTGAGGAAGCCCACGGGCACGGAGGAACCCAGCCCACACAGACTTCGGCTGTGTGCATCGCAGGTGCCCTGAGACTCCTGGATATGGCCAGCAGACACAGAACACAAATTCAGTTGGTCCTATCCCAGCTTTATTCTCATGACCCTCACATCCCAGATACAGCTCAGAGAGGGGCCCAGGTCACCCTCCCCAGTGAACGGTCCTTGGCTCCCCGCCCAGACCAGGCAGCGGGTTCTCGTGCCCACCTCTGCCCATCTCCTTCAACTGGGGGGTCACCCAGAGCCGGCCTCCTCAGCGAGGGCCGCAAGGCAGAGCCAGGACCCTGGAGAGGAGCTGCTCCTGGGGACCAGCTGTCCCCTCTGTCCACAGGCTTATCCCTGCTCCATCTCAGGGCCCCAGGGTAGGCCTTGGAGGAGCTGGGGGCCCAGGCCTCCTTGTCCAAGGACTGGCTCCAGGTGGCCTGGATCCCTGAATTCTTGGGCGGCCGGAGGCCCGCACTGGGACTCCGGTAGTGAGAGGACCGCACTCCCAAGCCCCCAGTCCACAGGGCGTCACTGGCTGAGGGAAGGGGCGAGAGGGCGTTTCTCCGGCTCCTGCACCTCGAGGCCTGAAGGGGAAGGCTCAGCTCAGACCCACTCCCACAGGAGCTCCCAGCATTCGAGGCAGCCCCCCAGGGCCCTCCACCTTCTGCCCCTCCCACTGCCCCTTGCAGCTCTCCTCAGCTCCCCCCGGCCTCACTCCAGCTGCACTGGCCACCTTGCCTGTCCTTGAACTTGCCAGGCCTTTGCTTCAGCTGTTCCCTCTGCCTGAAATGCTTGTCCCTAGGCATGTTGACAGGAAAAACCGTCACCTCCTATTTGCTCCCACTTCACCTCCTCTCTCAGGACCACCCTGAGCACTATAGTCAAAATCACGGGGCGCCTGGGTGGCTCAGTGGGTTAAGCCGCTGCCTTCGGCTCAGGTCATGATCTCAGAGTCCTGGGATGGAGCCCCGCATCGGGCTCTCTGCTCAGCAGGGAGCCTGCTTCCTCCTCTCTCTCTGCCTGCCTTTCTGCCTACTTGTGATCTCTCTGTCAAATAAATAAATAAAATCTTAAAAAAAAAAAAAATCACAACCTGCCCCACCCAGCGCTCCTGACCTCCTTCCCCCTGATCTCCGTCCTTCCCAGAGCGTGGCCATCCCCTAACATTCTGGGGCTGAGCCGCCCAGCGTGGGACCAAGCACATGAGATGTGGCCCATCTGAACTTCCACGTGCTGGAGTGTAAAACGGCCACTGGGCTCAAGGTCATAGCAAGAAAAAATAATACAAACTATCTCGTTAATAAAGGATTAACTAATTAATTAAAATATCTCATTAATGAATTTCCGCACTGACGACGGGTTGAAATGGTAACAGTTCAGGTATAATGGGATAAATAAAATATGTTATTAAAACTAATTTTACCTGAATAAATAAAGCCATAAAAAAAAAAAAAAGCCAGGGGGATGCCTGGGTGGCTCAGTCATTAAGTGTCTGCTTTCGGCTCAGGTCATGATCCCAAGATCCTGGGATCAAGCCCCACATTGGACTCCCTGCTGAGTGGGGACTCCCTGCTCCCACTCTCCTTGTTATCCCTGTCTTTTTCCCCACAAATAAATAAAATCTTTTTAAAAAATTAATTTTACCTGTCTCCTTTTACTTTTTTTTTTTTAAAGATTTTATTTATTTATTTGACAGACAGAGATCACAAGTGGGCAGAGAGGCAGGCAGAGAGAGAGAGGAAGGGAAGCAGGCTCCTCACTGAGCAGAGAGCCCGATGTGGGGCTCGATCCCAGGACCTTGGGATCATGACCTGAGCCAAAGGCAGAGGCTTAACCCACTGAGCCACCCAGGCACCCCTCCTTTTACTTTTCTGATGAGGCTACTAGAAAATTTTAAATTACGCATGTAGCTCACGTCCTATTGCCACTGGACAGGGCCATTGTAGATAATTACTATTTTTATGCATGTTGTTTACTATCTCCCTCCTGCACCCGAATGCTCCCTGCTGTATCTCCAGCTGTATCCCCTGCTGTATCCCTAGCATATCACCTGGCACTCAGTAAAGGCTCACTGTCAAGTAGATGAGTGGATGAACCATGGGCCCCAGGCAAGCCAGATACCCCCACTCACCCTCTCCGTTAGCATCAGCTTTGTGTTCCGACAGGGTCTCGATAGAGCCATCCCACCCCACGCTGCGTCCTGGGGGAGCACAAGGCAGCCAATGGGCCATGGGGACCAGAGCAGAGGTGGGCAGGGCTTGTGCGGAGACCCAAGGGACAGGAGGGAAAGCCAAGGGGCTGCTGGGTCCAAGGGAGCCGGAGAGCAAATGGGAGCAGGGACCCTGGTCTCTCACCTTTGCCATGGGAGGTGGGCGCGCCCAGGGGGCCTGGCCTGCGCTGTCGGAATCGCTGCCTGGGGGTGTCCCCGGGGCTGAACGACTCAGAGCTTCGCCCCACCGGGAATCGCGAGCTGAGTTTCCGCCGCCGCCCCCCTGCCAGAGTCTCATCCCGAAGGCAGAGGGAGCTCTGGGCCCGGCGCATGGGTGCAGGGGAAAGGGATCCTGCAAAGGTATAGGGAGGCAGGGTGTGGAGCTGTGCAGGGAGGGGCTGGGCAGAGCAGAGGGGCGAGTGGGGTGAAGCTGCAAAAGGGCAAGGAAAGGAGGCTACAAGAGGCAGGGGTGAGGTCTGGGTGAAGGACGGAGGCAACAGGAGGCTGGCCTGACCCTCTGACACTAGGGCTCTGACACTGACCCACTGTGTGACCTTGGGCAAGGCATGTCCCCTCCCTGGGCCTGGGATAAATGACCTCTTGCTCAAGTCCCCTGCTGCTCTGAGGTCCTAAACACTGCTGCGGACGGGCAGGACGGGATGGGTGGCAGCGCGGGCAGGAGGGAGGTACGAGCTGAGGGGCTCGCAACAGGGAAGGCCAGCGGGGTACTCAAGATGAAGGGAGAGACCAAGGGCGTTGGCAAGCACCAGGGTGAGGATAGGAGACATGGGGTCGGGACCATCCTGGTCACCTGGCCCCCAGACCCACCTGTCCCATTTGCCTCCCTGCCCTCGGAGAGCTCCGTCTCTGGGGGGCCCCCCAGGCTCTCGGTGCTGCCAGCCCCATCGGCCCCCAGGCGTGGCCCCCCATGGGGGCCCCCCTCCCGCCGGGGCCGCATCAGCCTCTTCACCTTGTCTGCCAACCAGCTGCCCTTCCTGGGGGCAAGAGGGCACAAGAGGGGGTAAGGCCAGGGAGGAAGGAGGGACAAGAGGGCCACGTTGGG